TATATATATATATATATATATATATGCTAAGTGACAACTCTGTGAATTGCAGTAATGTCCCCATTTTTCAGATAGAGGATACAAAGTTGAGGGCAGTTAATGACACATTGTAAATGGAATGAGGGTTGGTAGGCTGATCTGCATGACTGCAAAACAGCATTCTTTTCTCTGCATTGTGCACCGCATCCCCAAAGCAAATGCTAGGAGACTTACTTTTCAGGTATGACAATGAAAGACTGGAAATTAACCGTGAGGTAGGTCAAGGATGGCACAGAAATTAACATTGTGGTTGTGTAATATTTAAGGATTCTATAATATTTTCCTTTTTGTTTCGCCTCTTCTGCCTCTCAGTATCTGTAGCAGGTTATAATGGAGGATGCTGTGTAGTACCTCTAGTTAGCACTGCGGGCTTTTTCTTCTAGAAATCGGTGCTGTTCTTTCATTTTTATTTCATGTTTTATCATTTAACATTAGCTTTAGGGCTGGGGATTTAGCTCAGCGGTTTGGTGGCCTACCTTGCAAGCACAAGGACCTGAGTTTAATCCCCAGTACCAAAAAAAAAAAAAAAATTAGCTTTAACTTCTACACAAGGCAGTATTTAAAAGCTGGGATTCTAAACTAAAATCTTGATTCATATTTCTATTCCAGCAGTTATTGACCCTGTGCCTTTTTCAGCTTTTCTGTGCTTTGCTGTTTAATCAGCCATAAAATAAATTAATAATCATTACACAGGGTCTGTTTTGATATCACCAAATAACCCATCTAAAGCATAGACACAGGAATAGAGAAAACACTAAATTAACATTGTCATTATCCTCATCGTCATGGCTGTGCAGGTTACTAGAATCACTGAAATGGTACTGCTATTTTAAAAATAACTATAACTAGAAAAGAGACCATCTTAATAGCCAAATGCTTGCAGAAAGCACTTTAGAAGTTTCTAAATTATTTTGGATACATTTCTTTGAAAACATTTTATATCATTTATGAATAAAATAATAGCTTAGATAAGATAGTTGACCAGTTTCAGTGGCATTAATGTTCAGAAAGCAATGGCCTAATTGTCTTTATTTCTTGTATGTATATAAAGTGAATCTATACAAAATTTTGTAGACATGACCTAAAATATTTCCAGCTGTTTCTTTATGTATCTTAGAAATGAAATTAAAGTAAGTAAATGACAAGAAACCCTATGCAGCAGATCATCTGGCTCTTGTTTTCACAGTCTTGTTTCACACTGTGAGTCATACTGAGCCATTCAGCTATTAATAAAAGTCTCGTCTGTTTACCACATCTTTGATGCGAGGAAACTGTTGGCAGATTTCCACCTGCTGCCCAGGAGGTATTGAGACCAGTGAATGGGAGCCTGGAAAACTTCCTCAGACTAGGCTGAAGAGCTGCAGGGAAATGTGTGTTCTAGACTTTTGAACTGAGCTAAATATACCTCAGTTCTCTCTGAGCAGAGGGAACAAGAGGTGGGTAAGTACTTCCCTCTTCTCTGTGTACTATAAGTTTTTTAAAAAAATAACTGAACTGGAAATTGAAGTGTAATTTTAGTATTTGAGAGGAGACTTGATTTTAAAAGAATAACGAACAAGTTTATATAATCCTTTATTTAGCTTGCTTATATAATGCATATAACCCCTTCAAGGTAGTGACATGTGTTTCCACATTACTGTGAAAGAATAAGAAAAGTAGAAGAATCACAGCACAAATTATGGTCGTAAAGGAAACCATGTGAAAAGAACTAAGTTTGTAGCTGCACATGTTGCAGAATCAAATTTGACGTGTTCCTCGTTGACCAATCATAACTATAAATCTAGTCAACAAGAGCCTGGTGAATAACCCACTGACTTTTTCACTTTCAAAAGTCGAGTTTTTTAAATGTTTTCCAAAGTCCCATTTCTTTCAAAAGAGCTATGAGTTTTACAATTCCAGTGTAAGCTAGAAGGTGCTTTTCTGACTAGTTATCTGTTCATGATACTAAGGGGCTGTTCTCTACAAATTAAACTGAAAACACTGAAAAGCTCAGAAACTTTTTTTTTTCTTTTGAGGTACCTGGAACTGAAGCCAGGGCTTTGTACATACTGAAGCAAGAGCCCTGCCACTAAGCTACAGGGTGTTGTGCGGGGTGGCATGTCTTTGTGGTTAGAAGAAATGGATGGTCCTATCTCCAAAGTACCCAATCTGACTAGAGTCCAAGACTAGGTGTGGTAACTTAAAACTGTTTTTTTATATCTGGTGACATTAAAAATATAGCACTCAAGATACTTATATATTTTATGTAAAATAATGAGTGGCTGTTTATTATTATATAACTTTAGATATAACTTTTAGCTTAAAATAGTGTAAGTTTGAACCAACTTAAGGTAATGAGGCTATTTTGGATCGACAAAGATGATCAGGGCCAGAGATTTATTTAGCTCAGTGGTTCTGCCACCTGCCTTGCAAGCATAAGGTCCCAAGTTTGATCCCCGGTACCAGAAAAAAAGATGATTCTTTTCTAATAGTATACAAATATAAGACAGGCAAGTTTATAAAGTAATTGGCTTCATTATACTGGAGGTTAAATGAAATAGCATATCTTTGGTTAATAGTTAAATTAGCGGGAATAAACTGGTATTTCTGTAAATCATTTTTTTCAAATGCATGTGGTAATAAAAATAGTCATTTACTTACAATGGCTCAGTAAACATTTTCAGATTCTCTGTGCCCTGAAAAATCAACATTTAAGGTTTAGATTTTTCACTGTTTTAATATATACTGTACTATATGCTGTATTAGAAGTGAATGAACCTTTTCCTTCTCTTCCATAACATAAACTATTTTTCAGAGTAAATATTTACAAATGTTAGTTCCGGATCGTGTGGTTGCTAACTCTGCTGATCCACAAAATTTTGGCAACATTTTAAAAATCCTTCTGCATCTACTGAGAAAAAAACTCATGCTTATTACACTTTAAATATGCCAAACATTTCAATATCTGTCTTGATGTGGAATTTAAGGGATTTAGTTTCCTTTTCTTGGACAAGTTGCTTGAGTTAATCCTTCCTTTCCACCTGCATAGGTCAAGTTTTTTTCCACAGTTTGCTTTTTTTTACTGTGTTTTCTAGGGGGAGAGGGTGGTGAATCGGCAAGGTATGTGTGTTTTTCTGCCCAGCGACCTGGAAGTATAGGGAAGAAAGGAGTCTTTAAAGAGAAGTTCAGACCAAAGACACCTGCCTGATAAATTAGGAAAAGCAGTAGTCACATGGAACACGGTAAACCCCTGGGTTCGCCAAAAAATTTGTTCAGTTATTATTTGGTTTTATTTTGGGGGGTATAAGATCATCCTCTAGAACATAGACATCACAAGAACAATTCTCCTGTCTACTTTCTTCTGTGTTCATGCCCAGTAATGATTTGCTAATTCATTGAATCAATGACACTTGCCACTAACAGTTTTCGATCTTCTGATTTATTATATTTACTTGGCTAGAATTTTTTATATTCTCTTAGATGGTGAAGGGACTTATAGTAAAATGCTGTGACTTTTAAATGATTTGAATTCTTGATTTTTAAATATTATAATATGGGAATTTTTTTTCCTTTAGGAAATTATCTCAAATATGAAGTAATTTAATGATGGGAGAGCATTTTGTATTTTTCTATACAGTGATACCTATATATCTTTACTACCCTTGTGACTTGGAAAGTTTACTTCATTTCAAAGAATTACTGGTTTTGTCTTCATAGAATTTACATTAGGGAGGTCTTGCTCATATCTACTTGATGGATATGTAAAACAAGATTTGTTCCCTCATAAGCTTGTGTTGTGTGTCAGGAGAGTTTGGGATTATGTTAATGACTAGATTTGTGTACTTTAGTTTAAGGCAGATTAACTTGTTGTAAAGAAATTTTGAAATGTGTTAGTTTAAAAAAATGCTTTCCATGTGAGATAATGAAAAGATGGAAATAAAGTGTTTGTAGATGGGGAGGGGAGGAGGGGGTGAAGGGAGGGCAGGGACAAGAGGAAAAAATGAGAACCAAGACCTGTCATGTAGAGGTACAAGATCGCAACAATGAATGTAACTGTACTGTATCCCTAAAATATACCAATAAACTCAATTAAAGCTAAAAAAAAAATGCTTTC